AAAGAGCTGCAGAACCACTTCGCGTGGCAATCAGGTTGAAAATCTAATTAAATGGTACCTGTCCATAATGTAAAACATGTTTCCCCCTGCCCTGAGACTTAAATCCATCTGCTCAGGCAAATACTCAGCAGAAATAAAGAAGATAAGGCACAACAAGCAGTCTCTGCTGCATGACTGTGTTATGCTTCCCTGAAAAGCTCTGGCCGCACCGTGTGTCCGAAATGATTAAATGGAATAAGCACCTGCTCTGGAGACACACATGGAGATCACAACAATCTGAGTGTTTTCAGCGGAATTGCTCTTAAAATCCTCACACTGAACTTTGCCTTCTTATTAAAGCAAATGCATGATGGAAAAATAAAAATAAAGCACATCTCTGCAGCCCCAAAGAGCAGGAGGGCACAGATAAGATCTTTTCAGGTTTGAGTCATGTCAACCTCTTGYCGGCTTAAGGGCCCTTCCTGCTCTTTTTTCCTTTCTCTTTTTAAGAATTTGGTCAAGAAAAAGGTTTGAACAATATAGATCATTAACTGAGTCTGTCTGGCTGAAGGACAAAAATARCCATCCCTCAGTCTGAGCTTTAAAATAGCTCCTCCCCAACGGGACTCAAATGTTCCCCGGCTGGGCAAGATGTTTATTTCTCTCCCTCCTTTTTAAACATTTAATTTCAACCTATGCAATCACTGTGGTCAAGCATGACACAGCCCAGGGCAGCAGCTCACAGGAGACAGGATGAGAGTCTCTGACACCCTGATGGCATCACAGACAAAGCCTGATACAGCAGMAGCACAGGAGCCTCGGCCCCTTTTGGAGCCACTTCACCCCAAGTGCAGCTCATTCCATACATCCAGGCAACAGGGATCCTGCCTGGCACTTSCTCTGYTCCCAGGCACCATGAAAATCACAGRCAGAATTACATCCAGTACAKCATTTAATGYAGATAGAACGAGAAATTAAAAGGCACAATCRGGTTTTGACAAACTGAGATTGCCAAAGAATGGGACAGCTCCATGTAATAAAGGAATTGTAATGTGCAAGTAGACAGAACTACTGCTGTATGGAACAAAACACTGATGATGGGAGAGACCCTAGATTAGAGCAAAAGATAAACTCTGCAACCATGTAGTCAGGATTCAAAAAAAAATGTTTTTAGATGTAAAACTGACAAAATGACAGGCCAAAAAGAACACATAAGAAGAATTTTATCTTAATGACTCTGTGATTTTTCAAATGTTTTTAATGATAAGCCACACTTCATTGAGATTTTTCTCTAAAAATACTCTTGGGAGATGACTGAGTTTCAAAATGCTCATCAGCAGCTCATGTGCATTTATTATTATACYCCAGAGATGCTTGCCAATCTCAAAAGGACTCCAGACATTGCTGGTATCTATTGAGAAGGGCAGCCTTTAGAGCCTAAAAATCTGTGCCAAAATGTCATTTTTCAGAGCTTAAAAACTTCAGTCCAAATTCARTACAAGGAGATGCCAGAAGGCAATCAAGTTCTCTTTCTTTTGAGGTAAAACAGAAGAAAGCAGTAATGTACTGATATTACTTAGTCCAGAGGATGCAATAGATATTTGTATATGTACACACACGTATATTAGATACACACATATATTATATGATAATTATCAATGATTTATTCTTGGTAGATAAGTTAATTTAGAAAGAAATGTATGCAAAAACACTTGGGCAAAACTTTCTGATCAGAATCTCTACCATAAGATGCCTAAAGAGCCACAACTGATATTCTCCTGCCTCCCCAAAAATAAGGCACAGAAGGACCCCCACCTCCAGYATTCCTTTGGTGTGGCACAACTGAACAGAGCTGACCAGAGGCACCAGCTCCCTCCTATCCCCAGAACTGTTTCCAATCAGTTTTTCTACCTTTCTCAAGAAAACTGAACTCCCCATGAAATGCCTCTGTGGTCCATTTGAACCCTATCAATTATTTCCAATAGGAAAGGACAAGCAGTTCTTGCCAACATTTCCAATGGGAGTTGCTACAGGCTGTGATCTTTTCAGAACCTCAGCAATTCACAGTTATCTAAATGAAGGACATTTCASAGGCTCGTGAAAGGCTTCAGATGCACCTTTTGCCAAGGAAATTACATTGAGACTTCCCTAAATTTCCTGATCAGCTGRTAATTAATGGCTAAGATGCAACCAGAGATCTTAGAGCCCTCTCAACACCCCCTGGCAGACTGATCYGCACTACCTGGGGCTCCTTGGCACAGCCCATCAGGCTGCAAACAGACTCAAACTGTTTCACATCTATCTGTTGTTCTGTGGTTCTTTTTGCTTGTTTGTTCTCAATCCATTAAAGAGAGAGCATAGAAAAAGAGGGGGAAAAAAAGAGAAAAAGCAAAGACACATGGGCACTATTAGTGATGTAATAGTCAGTGTACGTGCACAGCTGCTTTATCTGCTCTGAAACACTTGAATTYCAACTTGCTTACACTTTTTCCTTTTGGGATAAAACGTATTTGATGGAAAATTCAAATTTTATTTTTAAGTTAGAATTAGCACTGAGGTTAAAATGTACTTTACATTTTAAAACCTGTGAGTTGAATCCTGGTCTGCAAGTGGATGGCTCAACACCACTCTCTTGTGGGCAGAGACCTGAATCCTCTGGCTGSACTGAGCACGCAGAGGTGCAGACAGCTCCAACAATAACAAATGTCTTTTGAGCCCATCTCCATCTCCCCCACAGCCAGTCAGACCCACAGATCTTTTCTGCCAGAGAATACAATGCAAGACAGGCATATTGATAAATACAACACTAAATTCTCTGAGCTTTTCCTCTTCTTTCTTTGTTTACAGTGTCTGTTTAGCAGCTGTCACAGTGAGAGAGAGAAAACAAATTTTTTCACCTTCCTGTAGTCTTCTGTCATCTCTCTTCCATATCTAAACTTTCTTTATTGTTTGCTGGATATCCTCCCTTTTCACTTATCTCAGCAACAACCTGGCTTTCCCTTTGCCCCCCACAATGGCACAGCATCTCTTTCTGGCAGGAGAATCACTAAGCCACCACTGAARGGATTTTCAAAAATCACACAGCCCAACATAGTGGGACTGGAGCACCAGGACTGAAGGCTCCAAGACAAGCTCAGGCCTCCTGGTGACATCAGAAAACAGCCAGAGATCTTCTCAACCAAAGCACTTTGTCATCAGATGCAAAGCCAGAAAATTGTGTTTGATCAAATATTTTGTAAATATGTAACAGCTCTGATAAACAAGAATTCTTCAATATTCTCAAAATCAAAAAAATTTCTCCCCACTGCCCTCTAAGTCCCAGGAAAGCTGTTTAAACACAGGAACAGGCAAAGCCTACAAATCATTCACAGTTTTCCAGTAATAACCTTCAAACTCCCACAAATTTCCGCTTCAAGTTTCTGCACAGTTCTTCACAGTCTGGCGCCTTTTTTTTTTCTGAACTAAGAACTTTAAGGCAATTAAGAGCCATTACCTGAACATCTTATGACAAAAAGTTAATATTTTGCTACCATAAGATTAACATTGGTGTACTTGTCGTAATTTCTGGGCAGCCACCTGAAAAATTTTCTTCTATCAGCTGAGGATCCATCCATTTCTGGAATATTTTATAAATCACAGGAAAACTACTTATCTTTGATGACCCAATAAAGCTAATATGATGGTACAGCACACCACACAATGAAGTTTTGAATAGATAAATCCCATCATCTTTTCAGCATGCACAACAAAAGAAAAAACAAACGGGAAGTTCTGAAATATCCCCACTCCTTTCAGACACTGGCTGACAGACCAGCAGAATTTCAACTCCAATAGGCATGAATTAGTTTCCAGGCAGAGAAGCAGAGAGAAAAGGAGAGGGGATTTAAAGAATTTCTCATGGGCTTTTGTCAAAGGGTTTTTTTCTGCTTGGTCTACAGAGCGAGGGCTCAGCTGTGATTTCAGGCTCTTTTTTTCTTTTTTTTTTGTATTAACCATAACTTCACAGTTGGCCACATAAAAACATGGTCAATTTTTGTACATTTCTCACTGTGTTTTGTCTAATCAACCCCCAATGTCTATTACCTTTTCAGATGAACGGAGCAGAAGCCAGTTAAATCGTAACTTAAAAAAGAACCCTATTAAAATATTATCTTAAGTGGCTGAATTTTCAGCAYTTGCATTACAGCTCTTACCATTCACACACTTAATTTCATTTTGCTTCCACCTCTCTTCCAGTCATGCCAACACAATATGCAAAGTGTCCTCCTTAGTCAGAGAGGATGTTGGCAGAATGGGGAATTTGTGGCTGCATCTGCTGATTTATCTGTGCAGCACTGGAAGTGCCTCTGCTCTTACATTGGAACATCCCCTGCACTATATCCAGACAATCTATCTCCCAGAAAGCATTCCAGTTCAGGTGGAGCATTTTATGGAATAATGAGATGAGAAAATTAAGATAAAGAATAAACTCATTAATGCTTGCAGAACCAAAACCCACAAAGCCTCTGCTGCAGAGACATGTTGAGGTTTCCACGCTCCTCGCCAGCTCACTCTGCAGCATCACTATGGGATACAGGCAGCACAGCCATGGCAACAGCTTCCAAAGAACAAACTCTAAGGAGCTATGCAAGTCTCCAACCAATACTGGGTTTTACATCTGTAATTTAGAGTTTCTACCTTTTTGCAGGCTTACACGCAGTACGTGCAGCATACTGAAACAGCCCTGAGCAGTTTAGCAGGGATTGGCATCCCCTGTGCTCCACTTGCCCCCGAGCCCACAGTGTGGCTGCCCAGCAGATCCCTTAGTTCAGCTCTTCTGGGAGCAGCTGATGCAGCAGAAACTCTTGCACCCGCTCCCTTTGGCTCCCCTCCCTGCAAAACACTAAATATGTCCTTCCCACACAGCGCTGAGCTCCACTGGCCCGCAGCCCATGCGCACTAAATTGTCTTTCTGATTCAATTAATCCAGCAGAATTCCACGAGCCCATTGCCCCCACTTCATCCCATGGGACCCTAGGATTCCTTGTTCCACCAAGACCCAAAGAGTACCATCTTCTTTCAATGAAGCTTGCAGCACAAGGCACTTGCTGAGAGGGTCTGYTTCAGACTCCAAAACACTTCTCAGGAAAAGCAGCAACACATTGCAAGGCTTGAGGATTTCCAGTTCATCAGTGGCAGGTCAAGAAGGAGCACCTCTTCTAATGCTATGGTAYTGTTTCTTCTTTATTCTTAATTAAAACCTTAGAAAGATTTATATCTAACCCTCTGAAATTCTTTTTCCTCTTACTGCAAAATTGCAGAAGCTTTCTTACAGTATCATCTGTTTTAAGGATAACACATTTCAGACATTTATGTCTAGAACAGAAAGAAATGTCCTTAGTAAGAGAAAACACTGGGTAGTTGGTGTGTTGAGGAGGACAGTCCCTATCTTACCACTGAAATAATTATTTTTCCAGTGGTTTTACAAAGCAGTATGGCCAACAAGAGCCAAGGAAAGTACACACCTCTTGTGGAACCACACAGTGGTCCAGCTGAAAGCCATAGTGTGACCTGATTTCCCAATATTTACCACAATCTCCTGAAATATCAGTTTAGGAACTTTAGTCAAATAGACAAGGCCAAAAAAACATATTCTCCTTTCTTTTATCATATTGGAGAAGAGCAAGAGAAACTCTGGCTGGTAGAGCCTTTTGAAAGGCTCAAAATGTGCCTTTCACAAGGCACAAAATGTGCTGGTCAACCTAGTGAAAACATGTACCAAACAGGGAGCCCGTGAAAGAAATGCAGATTCTATCAGCATCTACCACCAGATGATATAAAAGTAATTCTGCCTAATAAATAAGTCTCATTTTGACCCTCCTCACAATAAATCAAAGCAGCTCGTTTTGGTTTGATCTGCTCTTAAATTATGGAAACTTCTGGTAAAAAACCTCAAAACTCAAAAAAAGCTCAGGTATGAAGTAGAAAATAAAATTAAAGGGTAGAAGGGAAAAGTAAGAGATTAAACAATTACATTAAGTTAATGTGACTGCTTTGTTTAAAAATTGCTTTAAGATGTCCTGAAATACTATTGGTTTGGTTTTGATTTTTTTGCACTCAGCAATCAAGGACTTATGCCCCATGGCTTTTGCAGCTGTAAAACTGGCAGCACCAGAGGGATCAATTCTCGTTAGCAGCTATTTACTGATACAGAATGAGTGAAAAAGTTTTATGCTTTAATATTTATTTTCTTTTTGTGATCCTTCTTTTACTCAGATAACTGCCTCAAATTCTGCCTTTTTGTTTTATGTGTGTGCACACATGAACCACTTTCTACATGTATAATTTATTCATGCTCTCACAAGGGCTTTTGAAACAGGCCTAGACACAGTATTGTGCTATACCAGTTGTAATTTAAGAGTATCAATTATGTTTTTATTAAGAAATCATGTAATTGATGAGTATCTCAAGTGACTGCTGACACTATTAGAATGGCAGCCCTGCAGCCTCCTGCAATCAAAACTGTGCCATGCAAACCCAGCACTCCTAGTTAGCATTGCYTACTCAATAACCCAAGTTAAAGTATAATTAAATTCCTTGTTTCCTGGTCAAAAAACCCGCCACACTCAAGAAATTTCCTATTCACTTTTTGGCTAAGTTTTCCTACAGATTTTCCTGTGGAGTACAATTACTTCATTTCCCGAGGAGATGTCTCCTTGCTTTTAAAAATAGCTTCTTGTGTAATARTCCCTTTCTGATAGTTCAATTAAATTTATTTGTTACCAAAACTTGTTTTTAAAAATTCTCTGCTGTAGGACATACTCAGAAATTAAACAAGAACKAAGTGTCTTCCCACTTAGACTTCAGTGCAAAAAAAAAAATCTCACACTAAATTTGGTGTGGTCAGGCTTCCCTAATAATTCAATACTTATTCAAGTCTTAATTCGAGACTTATGCTTCCTATGTGCTGCTTGGGCTTGCTACTAAGAAGGAAAAAATATACAAAAGCCCTGTCCTGCCACTTTAACTCAGATTTATTCTGTCTGCTTCTTCATTATTAGGACAAAGGCGGTAGAAGCAATTTTTACAGAGACACAAGCTAAACTAGAAAACTGCAATTATAAATAAAATACAGTTAAGTATAAGTGAAGAAATTAAAAAGCAGAGCTTTTCAATTATAACTCCCAAACTAGTTTACAAAAACAAATGAGACAAATGAGAGTTTTAAAAAAAGGAAACGCAGTTAAGCGTCRTGCCCAGATCTGCGTTGCTCACCAGGAACGGAAAGAAACAGAAACCAAACCTACCTGACATTCAAATCCTTCTTTCCTCAGTCRCTTGCCAGGCCCTCAAAAAGCACAGTACGCAGTTTTTAGGGCCTTACATGAAATTGGATKGTTTCCCTGCATTTGTGACAAGTTGCCTGCATAACCTTCAGTCCAACAACACTTGCCTTGATCTGAAGTGACTGCCCATACCCAGCCCAGTGAGGCATTTTGCATATGCTCATTAATGGCTTTTGTTGTGCCTTTCCCTCYGAAAACATCTTAAACAACTAACTGTGAATGCCAAAGAGATAATAGATAATTAGTCAAGATGTAATTTGGAGACTAAATGAGCTAACTGAAAGAAAAAATGGATTGTATATTAGATATGCCCCACTAATGAGTATTTTGATCTTCATTAACTAAAAGATGTTGACATTAAATAATGTTTGACACAGGGATCTTCCAAAAGCGTACACTTTGGGTGACAATTTCCGAGAAAACACAGAAGCAGGGCTGCATCCAAAGCAGCACTGCACCCCGTCTTCAAGCAGCTTGGGTAGCACTTTGGAGCTTTGGCACCTGCTGAGCAAAGCTTCACCGCTTAATTCTCCCTAGCACAGACACAGAGGGGAGCAGCCAGGAGGAACCTCAGCCACAGAGATGCCACAAACAGGCACTGCTCAGGGTTCAATAAAAAAGAGGCATTTTTTCACAAAGTATTATCTCAGGGAATGGATAAATACTTACAGGGCTCAGCCTGTGTCCRTTCACAGCTCTGCCTTTCAGTAACACCACTGGAGTTTGTGAGCACGTTTTACAGCTTAATCCCTGTCAAAGAACTGAGAGCAGAGTGTTCTCTAGGTGAGCTGGTGTAACATCCAGGTTTACAGGACACTGCACGGCAATTTTGTGCATCTCCAGACTAAAGTTACAGCAGCCACTACATTGCTTCCAGCAGTCATTTCTAGGTCATTATAACCAAATTCTAACTTCTTTTTTATTTCCTGTTTCTTGCAGAAAGGAAACCTCTAAGSCCTACCTCTGTACCATTAACTATTGTCCTCTACAAGACCTGSAAAGCATGAAGGCTGTAGCTCTCTTCATTTATCTTGTAGGACCAGCTCTTGCTATTCCAGTAAGTCCTCACCAAGCTATTATTACCAGGCACCTAATTTCCCAATTTAAGGATATTCTGTGTTGTCCCATTAACCTATACAAGATTTTTATGGACATGCAYGTATTCATATATCTGTCTTTTTCAGACCCATCCTGTAAACCACAAGCTCAGAACTCACAGACAGAAAACTCCAGAAAAGGTATTCTTCTTGTTCTTTAAACAATCAGAAGTAACTGACATTATTCATCTTGAATACAAAAACATGTTAGCACATACATACTGGCTGGCAAATTGATTTATGTTAAAAATCTTCAGGCCATCTCACCCCAACAATCAGTGCAAACTGTCTCATGCCTTGCATATTAAACAATTGTAAACAGGAAAATGTCTGAAGTTCAAAATAGAAGTTTCACTTATTGACAAAATTATCTTAAATGAATCCCCACATATTGCCACCACCATATTTGTACAAGCAATAAGCTCCAGTGACAGTCAAAATTGTGGTTGCCACAGCTTCAGGACAGGAGGGGGACAAAATGCTCAATTTATCACAGCAAGGGATCACATGCAGTCTCAAACAGGTAATAATTTTAGCCACCATACATTTCATTATTCACAGGGCAGAGCATTAGACACAGCTTGTGCTGGCAGAGCACTCTGTGTGTGAGGAGCCAGATGCCCTGGTGACAATGAGACAGAGGATTTCATCAGCCCTCCCTATGCCATGTATGTGTGCTAATGGCAGAGCCCACAGTTTTCCATTCATGGCTGACCCAAATTAAAATTCCTTYTTATTGCACTGTTCTGGTGAGCCTTTGTGGCTCAGACACAATGGATCTTGGCTGCAAGCCACTGGATGTTTCAGAACTACTAAATTCAGATCATGCTCTRTACTAAGAAATTCAAAATCACAACTCTTATGCTAACCTTTTTTTTTTTTTTAATTATAAATTGTATTCCACTCTGTATGGCTTTCCACATAAATTTCATATCAATCCAGATGGTGCTCTGCACTATGAAAAACAAAAAATTAACTTTTCCTAATGAAGCATCCAGCAGATAAAATGGTACAAACATTAATTTGTACAAGATACTTGCATTAAAATAAAAAACTGTAATAGCCAATGAATCATGAGTTCCAAGTGTGTGCATCATCTATCAAAGGCAGTTTGCTCCCTACAGTGACTGCAATTTGCCCAAGTTCCCTCAAGACCACTGAGTTCTAAGAGCTGGTTTTGTACAGATGTACCAAGGTATAACAGAAAGCAGCATCTGGAAGCCACATCCAGGTACATTTCTGCAGGACAAGTGCAGGACAAGGCTTCCTGCCAAGGCATGAGCCAAATCTTTCTCAAACTGCTGCTTCAGACACTGGCACCCACAACAGACAATMTTTTTGGCCTTGTGTTTTCTGAATCTATAGAATTTTGGAAAAGTTCCACAGTGAGTTTCTGTTAGATTTGAGCAAACATACAATCTTCCCCTGAAAAGGTTAGAATTGGAACTGATAGAGTGAATTTATTTCCCAATACTATTCCCACATCAGCAAGGACAAGAGGCAAAAGACAAAATTGTAAAACATTAAGGTACCACTCTGACATTAAGAAATACAATATAGCTGATGTACAAGAGCCAAATTAATGTTTCTAATCCTACCTTTAAAAAAAAAATTGTATAAGTATTTGTGAGTGGAGTGTTTGTTACTAAGCAGCCATGAGACTGCCCAAACTAAAGGAAAAGCTATTCCAACAACTTGGATGATGAGAAGGACTATTCTTCCCAAATTAAACTCCCTGAAAGCTTTAAGAAAAAATCAGCATCAGGTGCTATGCTGCTGTAAGCAATAAGCAACCCTGGACATCCATAAGTGTTGTTCAGAAGCACACACAGCAGCACAAAAGCAATTGCTGCAGCAAGACATGACAGTTATTTTAGTCCCTGCTTTCTTCTCAAGCATTTTCCACTGAAGATGCTTGTTCTGCTGTTGGCTTCACAGCATTAAAAAAAAAAAAAAAAAAAAAAAAAAAAAAAAGCCACTCAAACACATATTGTTGATCTTATAATAAAGAAATTGCCACCACACACAAGAGGTCCTGGTGAATTCAGCCAGGAAGCAATGGTGTATCAGACCCGAAGGAGATGAATACAGGGATTATGAAATCAATGCAGGGCWCTCCTCAGGAATAACTGTCATGACACCTTGTGAAAGGTGCCCTCTCTTCCCCTGCTCCTCTTTTCCCAGGTCCTTAACTTTTCCCTTATCTGTTAAATTTCGCATGTCCCYTCTCTGATGTAAGTGATAATTACTGCAGTCTACAAGTGCCAGGAGTTATGACTAAAATACTAATTAAGCATTTTGAGATTTCACAAGACACCCATATGCATCTGTCTCTGAACAGAGTTGCACAGACCTCTTCAGAAACTCCAGCAATAAGAGAAGGGACAAACAGATTTGCTGAGAAATAGAAGTGACATCAGCAGTGAATTTCGTGCTCTGGGCTAGTTTAAGAGGAGCACATACAAAGTAAACAAATAAAGCCAGTGTCACGCTTTGCAATACAAGGCAAAAATAACACTGCATCAGCTTCAAATAAATCCTATGATTTATTAATCTACTTGTTATTTTTTTAAAAGAGTGAATATATCCATCCTGAAGCCTCAAAGGAAGAGAACACAGGATATGTAGATAAGGGTGATTTGCTGCCCAGTCACAGAAACTTAAAACCAGAGGTATCAGTACCARGCACTGAATACAGGGATGAGCCTCAGACCATCAGGAAACAAGGAAGAACTGGCAGTGAGCATCAAGTGAAAAACGGCCTGAAAAGCATCGATTTCCTTGCACTGCACAATAAACTAGGTTTGGCTTCTGATAACCAGGACAGTGACTCTGGGAGCAGCGGCAGAGGACAGTCCAGCTCCGAGCATGAGCAGCTCAGGAAGCGTGAGAAACATGGGAACACGGCAAACCGACACCTTCCAGGCCACCCAGAACACCCAGCGGGCACTTTCAGCCATGATCGTGAGCATAACATGTGGAAATACAACAAAAATGCTGTTGGCCTGTCTGAAAAAAACAGTGAAAGCRATGAAGAGGAAAGTATGGAAGAAGAGGATGAGGAATGGGGTGAAGAAACTGATTACAGAGACAAAAAGCACAAAGSCCACCGGAAACGTCAAGGTGACCGATACAAAAGACAGCAGCATGAGAGCAGCATGCAATTGGATGAACTCCTGAGAGATTCCCTGAGAGATTCCAGCCAACCAACCCGGAAAACCAAGAGACATGGAGAGAAATTTGACCTAGAAGGAGAAGAGAGTGAGAACAGCCAGAAGAAGACCTATAAGGAAGAAATCCCCTCCTCCCAAAAATCCCATAATGAATACCAGGATGGCAAACAGCAAAGTCAAGAGAGACAAGATGATATTCAAGTGAACTATGAGAGTGATCATGACACAGTGGTGAAAATACAAGATGGGGAAGACAGCAATGATGATGATGATGGTCAYGACAGTGGTGACATTGATGGTGAAGAGTATCTCAGCAATACCTGGAAAGAAGCAGCCTTTGAGGAAGAGGAAAGAATCCAGAGTAATGACCAGGAGAGCACCAGTACTGAGCATGAAGGGGAAGGAACCACTGAAGGTGGCACTGAAGCTCATGGAGAGACTGAGGATTACCAAATTGTCAAGATTAAAGACCTTGCTCACTCTGAAGATGATTATGATAATGAACCACCTAATTCTGAAAACAAGCAACAACTGAAAATGAGCAGCTCTGCTCAGAGMATTAATCCAATGGAAAGTGAAGATAAGGTAAATTATCTTTAAAATMACATTGGGACACTACAAAAAGGCGGAGAGGGACCAGTTCCAAATTTTAATTCCTGCTGATTGAAATGGCATGTTGAAAAAAAAACAGGTGTAATAACTTATTAATATGCAGAAGTCTCATCTCCTCTTTTACTCACTATCCCTCTGGTTCATGCTGTGTCACTGCACACAGAACATTTAGGTGAATTGGGCCAGAAAGGAAGAGAGCACCATTCACACAAGAGCTCCAGCCCCAAGGGGATGTGCAATGAAACACACAAACAATACAGATACACAGACACAAAACCTGAAACCCAGTCTCAAGCTTGCTGGGACAGCCTGTTCACTTCTTCCTCACAGAGATTTTAAACACTACTACATAAAAATCTACAGCTTGGAAGGCAGGACTAGAGTCCACAGAATAATTATAAGAAACTCAGGCCTTACTGAGTTCCCATTTCTCTCCCTCTACACCTCCTACTCTATTTTTTTCCCCAAATAACAAGAGCATGTTAATAGTACCAGAGGCTTTATGCTCTTCTMACACATTTTGCATAGCAACCTCTCTGCTGCAAGCAAAGCAAACTGTGTCTCAGTCAGCTCTATATTTGGTCCTGAAAAAATTGTGCCCAAGTATTATTTTTTTTCTTCCCAAGATTTACCACAGCTTTCTGCTTATGCCTCTGTGACTGTACAGGTCAAGACTACAGGCAGTTCCCATGGTGAGATGGAAAGTGCCAGCAACAGGAATGAGAAGGTTCTCCTTGGTAAGCCCCATGGAAAGCTGTCACATAACTCCCAACTCTGAAGCTGGGGAATCTGCTGSTCTGCATTTCCTTTCTGCCTTTTGCAGCACAGGATTTCATGTGACTGAGCTGTGCTTGTGCCTAATCCAGTGCTCACAGCCAATCCCTTCCATACGCCCTTAGATTTAGTAATTTGTTTGTGAAAAACATTTCTAGGCAGTGCACGAATTTTTGTGTCAGTTACAGAGAAATTGGAATTACCTKGCACTGAGAGCCCTCAGTCTCAGAACAGTAGTTTGAATTCAAGTAGMAGTGGGACAAATGCCAGTGCTTGATTCAGCAAAGACAGATGGGAAATGGTTCACCAAAGGAAGCTGGAAGTGAATGTCAGTCCTTACAGAAGAAACAGCTTTTTTTTTTCTGAGAAAATTATTTGCCCATCCAATTCAAACATGGGACTGCTAGAAGTTTCACAAAAATCCTCATTTAAAGTTTGGCTTGGTTWATTCAACACAAGATCCAGCTTCATTTTAACAAATTTTAAAATGCGTTTGAACTTCTTGGAGAATATTGGGCTGTATTTTKCTTGGGCTGTTGTTAGTATCTGACMAACACTTGGCTTYATCCCATCACCTCTAATAGTCCCTCTTTCCTGCTAGGATTGCCAARCCCATGTCGGAACTTCCACTGCAAAAGAGGCAAAGTCTGTCATGCAGACAAACAAGGGAAACCCTTCTGCATTTGCCAAGATCCTGCTGCATGCCCTCCCACCAAAGACTAYGAGCATGTGAGTATTTCACCCAGTGCACAGGACTGGGAAAAGCCACCCAAAGTGTTTACAAGGTAACACATTGCCATGCTGTTACTTAGAATGATTTACCCTGAAAAGTTTCCGAGTGAGTTTGAGTGATTCCAGTAAAGGCAAAAGTAAAAAGCACCAAAACTCACTGACTGTGGCTTGAGAGCTGTATGAGCCCATGAAACTACACAGCACCCGGCTTGCTTCACTCTGTCTCTCAGGGATTGTWGCTTTTCCCTGTCACTAAAACTTCTATTTATCCATTTGGTGTTTTASAGCACATGCTGAGTACTGGCACGTAAAATAATGAAATAATTTAGTTATTGAAAATTACTATAATGATGAAATAATCCCACAGCATCTCAGAGACTGTATTACAGCAACAAAAATAAACYCAAGTATTGCAAAACTGGGCGTGCAAGCACAGATAACTAATCCTCACGTGGGCATAYGACAACTATTACTTTCAATGCTTCTGGTCACATGTACTCCCTGTGGGTGTTCACCACATGCTAATGATGCTTTTATTACTGTAATGCCTCCATGAGTGACAAGGATTTTTCTCAACACAGTGGGGTGGGGTGGGGTGGTTTTGCTTTTCCCTCCTCCTCTAGGTTTGTGGTACAGATAACAAAACCTATGAAGGCACATGTCAGCTCTTTGGCACCAAATGTCAACTGGAAGGGACRAAAATGGGACGCCAGCTGCACCTAGACTACATGGGCTCCTGCAAATGTAAGGCTTATTTTTCTGTGAAAAATTCACGTAGATATAAAAAAACAGTTGCTTTAACTCATCAGCAAGCCCTAGATTACCTTTACTCCTGTAAACTGCCACTTGTGCATCAATTATCTGCCAATTAAGGCCTTTAAAACCTAAACATGTTTAAAAGTATCTGAAACCAAGACATCTCTCWTGTGCTTACACCAATTTGTTTTTGACCTTATCTTTCCCCTGCACTGTCTTTCATGTTCCTGTTGCTATAGTTTCTGAAGGTTTTTGTAAATCCTTCACCAGAAAAAAAAGTGTTTGCAGACAGTTAATAAATGAAAATGTCCATCTCAAACCCCCACGGAAAAAAACCACCAAAAAACTGAACCCAAAAACATCAAACGACCAAACTAAGATGCCAAATGTGTAAGTCAGGATCTAAAAGCCAGAACTGATTTCCAACCTGTTCAACAGGTAGGAGGAAAGTGCATTCCCAGCCAGAATATTCCTGTGCTGTCGAAAGCTCTGCTTTCATGCAACTGACTGATAACAGCTTCACTACACAACTATGCTCAGAAGCTGCACAGATATGCAAGGGTTGTGGCTTGCACAACTGGTTAAGCATGTACACCAAAAATTGTAGGTTTATAATTGAACACATTAGATGCATTCACAGTTTTATGTATTAACAGCTCCATCAGTTTTAACTGGAAGTTTGATAGTGAGAGTCAAATCTAACTGGGCTCAAAAATGCTTGRATGGGGATTTAACAGATGATTGGTTAACAAAAGCTTTCCTCTTTGGCRCAGACATCCCCCCCTGTACTGATTATGAAGTGGATCAGTTTCCCCTCCGGATGCGAGACTGGCTTAAGAACATCCTTGTTCAATATTATGAACGTGACCTSAACACTTCTGGAATTCTAACTGAAAAGCAAAGGAATAAGGTCAGCAATCTTTTTCAGATAAGACCATGCAGGTACACTGACCTGACCAGAACATCTCATACTAAATGGTATAAATTAGATGACTTCTGAGATGGCTTAATTCACACCAAAACATGAGTTGCTTTGCCTCAGGACAGAAGATTTAATAAAACTGGTTTAATTTCTTACCAAGCTGAGGCTACTGCCCCCTTAGCCGAGCCTGACAATTAAACCACAACAATTTCACTTCCTTTCTAGTTAYTGCCAAAGTTGACATTGACAGCAACAAAAATCTCCTGGACTACCTGAGGCAAGCTTTACATGCTGTGTATGGTCACAAACACTAAAACCCATCTCCCTAATGGTATTTTATTATCTAGTTACATTTCTCTCAAGCACTGTCTTTCCGGATACTTCTTTTCAGGACAGATCTTTGTCCCTGAACAAAAAATAACAATTTCTGTGTCRTGTTCAGGTCAAAAAGATCTACCAGAATGACAAACGCCTTGTGGCTGGTGACCACCCGGTCGAGCTGCTCCTGCAYGACTTTGAGAAAAACTACCACATGTATGTGTATCCTGTGCACTGGCAGTTTCACCAGCTTGATCAGCACCCTGTTGATAGGTAAAAAAACATTTGTGGGTCCAGTTCTGATTTGCTGTTTTACTTTTCTAAACTGCTCAAAGGATTCTCTGCATATAGAATCAATCCCTCAGCTGTTAGAAGCCAGTATTCCCCTCTTCCTAAACACAGAACCTTTTCTCTCGTTTTCCTGATCATGTCCGAGGTCAGAACCTGTTATCCTCTTGCCTTGCATGATCATGTATTACACTGCAAGGTCTACAGTGTCTTAATGCCTACTAATGCTCTCCATCAGAAAGAAATCCCATTACTGAAGCCAAGAGCAACAGGATAAGCACAAAGGACAGAACCCTGGCAACAATAATCCACTTGTGAGGCATTTGTAGTTTTCAACACCACAGAGGTCTCCCAGTTTAAGAAGCAAGATAAAGTCACAGTTCAGAGGAAGCCTACAGCTTCTGAGAACATGACTTGATTTCAAGGTTTTGATCATACCACCTGGTAAAGGGATCCATATTTCCAACTTCAGACCYTCAGTACCTCAGGACACTCATGATGTCCTAGAACATTACCAAGCACTTTCACAAGCTTGATCTCTTGAGGACTAATGTCACAACTGATGAATTGTGAGCAATTTGCTACTTGCAATACCTGTAATTATTACACATGCGGTATTTGTTCTAGGAAAAAAGAYGTTATCAAACAAACTGCAGCAAAAGCATTTTAGTTTATCACATATTAGACATGTTCATAATGACCCAGGACAGAGCCACTACAGAAGCATCACAACAGAAGCCACTGGGGCATCTCTGGAAAAGCCACTGTGGTAGTTTTCCAGTGTCTTGGATCATCTTTGATAATCCTGTTGATTTATTAAGGAAATACAGCTCTCCGTACCTGTTCTTTCTTTCAGATTATTAACACACTCKGAGCTCGCACCTTTGAGAGCCTCCCTGGTTCCCATGGAACACTGCATAACCCGTTTCTTCCAAGAGTGTGATGGAGACCAGGACAAACTCATTGCTTTGAAGGAATGGTGCCACTGCTTTGGGATTAAGGAAGGTAAACTTAAAAGAACAAGCAGACGTGCCTGACAGAATGTTCCTACCAAAAACATTGCTCAAACCTCAATGTAAGGCAAAAAAAAATTATAAGCAGCAGCTCGTGGCTACTGTGCTGAGAGGAAAACAGAACAAGACCACAGAAGATGAATGAGGTTAACAACACAACACAGGTTAATCCCGAAGAGTTATGTGACAGAAGGCATTTGGCCAAACAAGCAGACTGAAGAAACATGTCCAAAATCCTATTAGCAGGTCTGTAATTTTAAGTGGAGGCTGATTCTGGTCAGAGGTCAGACACACAGAGCCTTTGGTCTTCCCAGAATTTTTCCAGCTCTTCTGATGACAATTTATCAGTCATGAAACACATATGGAAGAAAGCTGCAAGAAGTTATCTTAATACACATGTATTTCTGCCAGTGATTGCTCATTTATAGCATCAGTCAYTTTATTTATAATGATACAGCACAAAAATGTCTCTTTGGCATAAAATGTTAATAATGTTTTTTTCTTCTTTGTTGCAGAAGACGTAAATGCAAATCTCCTTTTCTGAGCCTGGCTGAACAGACTCCCAGTACTGCACTAAAAATAGTGAATCCTGCTTCTTTCTGTAATTAACCACCTCACAGCTTTCAAGAAAAAGGTGGAATAAGGTTCACAAGAATTCTTATCAAATAACACAAACGTAGAAGATTTTTACATTCATTAGCAGCAGAAAAATTTAACTACTTCAATTGGTTCATAGCTAAACAACCAACATTTTCCCCCATGTGTATCCATGATCTCTCTGAACCAATAAATACTAATAACCTAATGACTAAGCTGTTCACAAAGCTCTTCAGTAGAATTATAGAATGTAGATTTTACCCCACACCGAAGTGRAACTTGTTTCCTTTATTTACTGTATTGTCAGCTTAACATAGMAGTCTCAAATAAATTAGAAATCTACTTAGATATGYGGGTTTTGTCAGAACTTTGTCAAARARAATTCWGTTTCTTTCGCTATTTCCCATCTTTTCCTTGTCTCAAGAGAGGCAAAATTTAAGCATAAAAAACCAGGACAGGATGAGATTATTTCTGAATCCCCAAAACATTGTGATTTTAAGGCAAGCACTTCACTGAAAACATTCCAGGCATGCTCTGCTCTACGAAAAAGCCCCAAATGCTATTATTTCTACAAAGGATGAGCAGCAAACACCTTTCACCTGAACCACATTGCCTCTCCAATGAAAAGATGGGATTCAGAAATGCTGTTTTGGTGGCTTAAATAGAGGGAGTCCCTCTCCCCTTGCTCATTTGCTCTTGAACCGAGGGCTGATAACTCCAGTCCAACACTAGCCTGATGCCCTGGGACACAACTAATTAAACTGTGACTAATTTCAACACAAGAACTTCTTGCACAAACCASAGATTACTTCCCAGCAAAACCAGTTTCACTGCCAGTTTTTTCTCCTAAGCCTGACTTTGTTGCTCACTTCATGTTCTGTAACATCACACAGCAGTGTGTAAATAAATCAACCTGGATTGCATGTACAGAAGCATATTCTCTCTGCTAATTCCATTTGGAAAAGATCTTTTCTCTGGGAATTCAAATGCTTCCAGGGAAAAAGTAATTTTGACAGCACTTTTCCTGCCTGGCTACAGCCTATTGCTTTTTTGCTCTTTCAGCAGCCACAACTCAGCCACCTTAAMATAATCAAATATAGTTCACATGAGGATAACTCACAAGGATTGACTTAATCTCCACTGAGACAATGCTCACCACTGCTCTGCTCAAACCCACTACYAGGAAATGATACAAGGAATAATTTATCAGGGCAAATAGTCCAAGTTCTGCAGGGCAGATGATGACCTTGGCCAAGATGATTACAGCTGAGGATATATGAAGTACACAATGTATTAAGGAGCAGATAAAAATGCCATCTGATGAGCTCTTGATGTCAGTGGCCTCAGACCTCAGTAGGCCAACATGAYGCCAACTTCTTCCAAACTGAATCCTACAAGATCTTCCCCAGACACGTGTACCCAAACCTACTTACTTACTAGTAAAATAATCATTAAATAGAAGGATCAAGCAAGCACCATAACCAAAAACTTATTTTCAGGAGCTCTTTCAAGAGTTTTTTTTGTTAAACCCCCACATACTTTGGTGMCAGAAAGCACAGCTCAAACTGCAAGCACACTGCCAGCACACAGCTGGCCTCAAAAAGTAGGGACTTTAATTCTCAAGTTCCCATTTCTTCAGGATAAAGAAAGTATTTACACTGCCTCTCAGGTAGCAGGTTCAGTACTCTCAGTATTRTCACCTCCACAACCACTACAGTCAGACAATCTATACTGAAGAAACACACAAGAAATATTCCTTTTTTATAACACATTTCCATTGCCAAGCTTATCAATCCTCCAAGCATTAGCAGGGGTTGTTATTAAAAAAAAAAACAACAAAAAAACCCCAGTCTTTTTATCAGCTGAGAAGTAAACTAATCAACCCAAAATGTCTGAGGGCATGACTCACGACATCTTGTGGTTTTTTGAGGCAAACAAGAATACTAAAAATTGTTCATACAGACTACTGAACCACCTCCCCTGACCCGGTAAGAAGGGTCTGTTCCAGTGGGTCATGCTTTCAAAACCCAACTGCACTGCTGGGGGCCTGCTCYACATAATCTATCACATCACAGAAGAAATCAGATGGGCAGGAAGAGGTGAGAAAGGATTGAAAGAAAAATTAATACYTCCTGGCATTACTTTTTCCTTTGAAAGGTACGTATTAATTGCTCTGCAAGATTCCCAGGGTTTCCTGCATTACTCTTTCAGGGAAAATTAGCTAATCAGGAGCAGGGGTAGGGTTGAAAAGGAGCAAGCCCTARAACCATTCATCAGCTAAGAGGATGTGGATAAAGTCCTAACAGCACATGAGTGTGTCACAGTACTGCTACACAAGGCAATTCCAGATCACAACATTTATCACCACCTTATTTCAACACATGGATCAAAATTCCTGAAGTCCTCAGATCTCAACATCAGCTCCTAGCTGTTAATGTCACAACTCCTGATACCAGTACATAATTAATAGAAATTACATTGATTGAAAACACAGGGAGAGATGTCAGTAACTCTTGTGCAGCTCCTGATAGCAACATAAGTGCCATAGAAATCCCAAATCAGCCTCCTGACTGCAAGTTACTCACATCACCTAAAGGATAAAAAAACAGCATGATTTACAAGATTATACTTTAAGGCTGCTCTTTCCACTGATTCTGCTCATGGTATAATCTCCCAAAACATCTGTACCCCCATAAGCAGTGGGAAGAGAGGAACATCAAAATTCAGCTCCTCAAATCAGTCACTAAGTCTCATCCTCCAACAGTTTTCTTTTTATACAGAGGCTCTGTCACACATTCAGATGWGAATACCATCCATACTGTAAACCAAAAAGTAATTAAATGTGAAAACTAATCTCTCAAGATAGAAAATCACTGCAAAGACATGTTAAATGAAATGACTCAGAAAACCAATTTCACTTTATTATGTAGCAAGTGTCTCATTCCTTAGGGATTCAAAGTCCTGACAAGGAATCAGTGCAAAAATACAGAGCTGAGGTGAACAGCCTGTGAGCTACCTCCAGACAGAATCCCAGTRCTGCCATGCAGATCTGCAGACATTATGAAACAGCAGCAAATGATGAAGCCAAGAAAGCAAAGCAAGAGCTCCACATTCTTCTCATTTCACACTAAGAAATCAAAAGAAACAATCTGAAGTCTCTGAAACAGCCTGTTTATCACTGTCCAGTATTTTTCCCAGCTGAATTTCACAGAATTTCCACTGAGGATGACAAGGACATCTGTTTCAAGGCTGATAAATGTATTCCCCTCTCAGTGTTTGTCAGTTCCAAGTTTCCATCACTTATGGCACTCAGATCCAGGATCCTCACTCCAGTGGGCTCCCAGTTTCTCAGTCACCAGCTTGATGAAGTAGCTGTGACTTGCATACAGCTTAAGCTTCTCACTGATGTCAACCCACTTCACCATTCCAGCATCATCACCTGCTTCCAGAGGCAAATTATCCATTGTCTCACCTGTTTACAAAACAAGAGTCAGGACAYGTTATTCAGTCTTTTCTTCCTGCTTTTTGCCTCTCACATCCTACCAGTTCTACCCTTCACAGGCAGCAACCTTCAACGGTATTTCAGGAGAAAAAGACTATTTTCTCACTTCTGATTCTGTGCCAGAAACATTTTTCATACTTGCACTACTCTAAAGCAAATCTAAGTGGAAAATCTGAATTAACTCCTTGTCACCACTCCTAGAGTATCAGCAGCAGCTTGGAAAGCCACTGGAGAGCTGACAACATGTGCTTACCACCCAAGTTTAGTCAATCYCTCTGCCTGGATTTTTGTTTGCTTGCATAACGTTTGACTGCTGCTTTTCTTATATACTATTCCACAGGACAAACTGAATTCTGAAACTTACATACACTTATGAAAAAAACCAAAATCATTCAAATTTTACTGAAGGCCCCAAGGTCAAAAATACTATTTAAGAAGGGATGCATAAAGGCTTCTAAATTGCTCTCTTTCTGAAGTTTTTACTGCTTCTAAAAAAGAATCTGAGGACTTTATAGACAACAACCAAGAAAATGCTTTTCTATTCTGTATTGGAAAGGCCAAAGAAACACTATGTCCACTACTTCTAGGGGCTGACAAATCTTGGACTAGTGGCATGAGAAACTTCACAACTGGAATCTACTACTCAAAATTCAGTGGAAATGTCACTACATTAAGTCTCTGGCTTGAACACATCAGAATCACCTGACTAGATTGATTTATTGTACAGGTGAAAAATAAGAGTCCAAGACAACACGACAATTTAAAAATCTATTCCAATATTTTGCACCTGACTTTCACACTCTCCTGATTTCATCGCCGTTCTCAGCTCAACAAGGGAGCCAATTTCAAACCAACATACATAGTAAAATGCAACTAAGAGCACACCTGGAGATATTTACCTGTTTCATCATGATAGTTCACAGCCTCTGTCTCCATCCAGGCATTATCAGTGTTACGAGGGTCATCCACATATCCTCTGTACACCTATAAAGCCCCAAACAAACCAGAACAAGCTCAGTGTCACAACAAACAAGGTGAAATCAGTCACACCTTTTTCTTTCCCTCTAACACATTTGCCTTTACAGTTTTCAACAGTCTCTTCCACTTCCTGCACCGCGAGAACATGAGTATCACAACTTATTTTCATTTCAGCTGCAATTTTTCARGTTCCATACAGCTGTGAGTTACATGCATAGCTCAAGAGGCTGCCACARGAGACACAGAGCTCACCACAAAATGTTCCTGGCTGAACAGCTTGTGGAGTTGCTTCTCCAGTTTTGCTTTCTCCTCAGGTGATTTCTGCAGAGAGTTCAAGGCCTCCTCCTCAAATTCTCGYTTCAGGGTAGCACTGATCTTCTCCCCTGGGTCCACCATCCCCTTAGAGAGAGGAAAACAAAAAAAAATTGACAATCCCTCAGATTCTACACATTTTAGCTCCTCTTAGTATATCACATCCACTTGCACCATACATGCGTCATATCTGCCTCATGGCCTCACCAGCAGGGAAATGTCAACTGCCTCTGGAGCTTTGCCCTTACCCCGGGAATGGCCCACTCCCCACAGTCTCTCCTCTTGATGGCTACGAACTGCAAGATGTTCTTGCCAGTAACTGGGTGAGCAACTTTATTGCCACTTCCATCTCTTTTCCATCTGCAGCAAAGGATAAACAAGAACATGTTTTACTGCTTCTTGACACAAGGGCCTGAGAGAAGGACAGCAAGGCACTGCCACCTGTGCACGGACAAACAAAGCAGAGAATGAACAGTCAAAGGGGACCAATGGATKCCATCTGGCAGGATCACAACCAAGGACAGAACACTGAGGGTTTTCCTCAGAAAAAGGGCAGAAAATGTCCAGGAGCCACAGTTCTGCAGCCAAGCTGGTAGTAGCAGCTCCTCTGAAAGCTCTCTGAGCTGCACTTGTGCCAGTCCATACTGAGAGGATGAGTATGTTTCTGCTGGAACAGAATRGTCACACAGGCTGCAGCAGCACCAGGACAAAGCCACAAACAGCCAGCATCGCCTTCAGTAAAGAATTAAGAAGTACCAACAGGCAAAGCAAAAAACTGTCCAAACGAAAAAAAAAACCAAAAAAACCCAAAAAACCAAAAAACAACAAATAAAAAAAAATAAAAACAACAACAAAAAACAAAAACAAAACAAAAATAATGCCAGCATTTCCTTTACTTTCAAAACAAAAAAAAAAAAAAAACAAACCCAAAAAAAAACAACAACAAAAAAAAAAAACCAAAAACAAAACCAAAACAAAACTAATGCCAGCATTTCCTTTACTTTCAAGAAAGCAACTCAGCAGCATTAACATCCCTCTGGAAAGGGGAAAAGGTAAAATACATCAGGATGCTTTTTCACAAYGGTTCTGCCTTCAGCAATGCATTTCATAGCTTGCACTTCTGTTAACCACACAACCTTTTCTGAATGCTTTGTGTAAAATGTTTAGCACATACATACACATTCTGCTGGGAAAAGCAAATTAAAACAAAGCATGAACTGAGCAAAAGAGGATCCTAACCCAACCTCCTCCTATCATATACTAAGTCAAGTTAGAGTTTCTTACATAACAAAAGCAGAATGGGCTTATGCATAGATAACACACAGAGAAAAGGGCAATGAAAAGTAATACCCTGTCCAGAGACCCAGAAAAAAAAGCAAAATGCATGGGTTTCTTCTCTACTGCAGGGTACTTTGCAGTCACCTGTCCCTTACCTGGTTACAACAGGATCTGCAGCATGGTTTGGTCCCCAGCGCCCCAACAATCCTCTGCCGGTGAGGCCAGTTCTTCCTGCTGGATTCCTGAAATAAATGCCATGGTACATGACTTTTATAGTCCTGAACAGGTTTAAATTAGAAATTAAGCCCAGCAATACCCAGCGCCTCTGATTTCTGAGAACCAGCTGAAATACAAAGGGAGTTTATTTTCTGCTATTTTCTATACCCTTAACATGATAATACATTAAACATATTTACTTCCCCACATTCAAAATATGCTCCAAGTATCCTAAAAAAAAAAAAAACAAACAAAAAAAAAACAAAAAACCAAATCAACATTAAATAACTAAAAAGGGAAGGATAGTAACACGCATTTGTTGTCATCATGTGCTTTAAATGGCAAGTGACACAGCAAGTTTTGCTCCTTCATCTACATAGATTCATCAAACAAGATTCCATTTTTCTCTCTTGGMTTTGTTCTAGCTGATACCATGCGTMAGAACTGACAGATCTGTAAGAGCACTGAAATGAATATGCAAACAAAAAAACTCCACTCACCGGGGTCTCCCGTTTTCAACCACATACAAGCCATTCAGACTCTTCCTCTCCACTTCTCCATCTCTTTCATTGAATTTGGGAGAAAARCCTTCATCACTGCATGGCAAAGAAGAATGCAACAGACATAAATGATAAAACACAAAAGCTTGTATGCCAGCCATCAGAGCAGTAACATCCCTTTGACCCATGAGCAGTTTTTTACCAGAACTGGAGATGCAGGACCTCCCTTTTCTATAGGAGGCTAAGAAGTCCTAACCTTTACTGATGACAGTCCCTCTCATTTAGTATTTAGTATTTAGTATTTAGTATTTAGTATTTAGTATTTAGTATTTAGTATTTAGTATTTAGTTCTCCAGACAAAAGTGCAGAATTAAAGTATTTAATATTGCATCTCTAAATTTTCGTTTAGACAAAGTATTTCAAAGGTATTTTTGTTAAGGTTAGAATCATAGAATCATTTTGGTTGGAAAAGATCCTTAAAATCATGCAGTTCAACCCAACCAAGCCCACTGCTAAACCATGTCCCCAAGTGCAACATCCACTTTTAAAYAATCCCAGGCATGGTGTCTCCACCACTTTCCTGGGCAGCCTGTTCCAGTATCTGACAAACATTTCAGTGAAAAAGTTTTTCCTAATATCCAATTACTGGATGCCTCCCCTGGCACAACGTGATGCCATTTCCTCTYGTCCTGTACCTTGTTACTTGAGGAAAAAGACTGMCACCCCCATTGTTACATAGTTAGAAAAAAACTAGGTCATTAATTCAACCTTTCACATTTCCTGACATGGAGCACTCAATTCAAGGACTACAATTATACTTTCTTTTCTCATGTTGCATTCAAACCACGAACGAGCAAACAAGTGTATAATTAAAATGTTCTCCAAACTCTTAAGGAAAATTCGGAGACTTTTATTTAGCTCACAACACAGAGAAACAGAGAAACAACAAACACTTGTACAGCATCAACAGGAATCCATTACTCCAATCTCAGTCCTCAGGCCAGTAAAATCATGTGTCAAAGACCTTCACAACAAACCCAAACAATTCAATTCTCTAACCACCACTTTTCTTAATCTTGATTTTCACACATCACTGCAGCACCACACATCTCTTAAGGTGATGATCTTGTTAACTTAGCTCATGTCTATTTCCTACTTCCATGTTCACAGGGAAAAAGGGCCACCATTTCCACCCACTTGATTTGGGGATCTGCCCAACTGGGTCCAGCCAAAACAGACTTTGCAGTGTACTCCACGGGATTATARTCTTCCCACTCAGTCAGCCAGCCCACTTTATCTTCAGGCACTTGGCTACGYTCAATGCGTGATCCTGGATATGGTGAGGTGAGAGCTTTGCTGTGGTGGAACTTCATATTATAACTGTTGAACATGTTCACAGGATGAAGACGGGACCAACAGTTTGMAGATAAATTACTAAAAAAACAAAAACAAAACAAAACAAAAAAAAAAGAATCTAATTCATTAGGCTTTAACCTGATATTTAATCCCAGATCTGCAAAGTACATTATAGCAAGCAGAACAGACCCAACTCTTTCACAGAATCTCAGAATTAATGAAGTTGGAAAAGACCTCTGAGATTATCTAGGCCAATCTATGACCAAACACSACCGTGTCACCTCGACCACCACACTGAGTGCCATATCCAGTCTTTTCTTAAACATCTCCAGGGATGGTGACTCCACCACCTCCCTGGGCAGCACATTCCAACGTCTGTTTACCTTTTCTATGAAAAAACTGCTCCTAACACTCAACTTACAAAACACTGCAAGTTCCCCCCCCAAAAAAAACATTTTAACAGAGACGTGGGAAAGGGCAATACCGCTTTTGTGCTTTTCAGCAATTAAATCACTTTAAAGGACAGTCCAGCCTGAGTTTCTGCCCCGCCCCTGGGGACACCCTGAGGGGCACCGGACACCCCGGCCAAACTCCCCCTGGGCGGGCAAGGGTGCACGGCAGCCCCGGGATCTCGGCCGAGCCATGAGGCGGCTGCTCCCGGCGGAACAGGCCAGGGCCGGCCGGCAGCGACACCGAGGCTGTTCCGCCACCGCCACAGCCCGCGGTACCTGTGGGCCGGGCGGCGCTGGGCAGCGCCCCGGGCGCTCAGCACGACGGAGAAGGAGAGCACGGCGATGGCCCGAGGCAGGGCTCCGGCCGGCAGCGGCATCGGCCCCGCCGCGACCGCACCGCGCTYGGGGGCGACCCCGCCTCCGCCTCAGCGCCGGGGCCGGGACGGGGGCACTGGGCCGGCGATGCCAGGCAGCCCGCTCCGGGATGCCGCTGCTTGATCCGGCTCCGAGACCCCGCTCCTTGGCRGCGCCGCCCGCCCCGCGCTGTACAACGCGGCCCCGCATTGGCGGCAGCGGCGCCAATGGCAGCGCCTGTGCCGGGCCTGGCTGAGGCGGAGCCCCGGCCCCGCGGTATCTCCGCCGTGCCGGGCCGGGCACTGACACCTCGGAAGGGGTTGGGAACACACCCGTGTGTTGGCCGCTGCTGGGCACGGCTCCCACAGCATCAGCGCTGTGTCCACGGCATTTCCAGCCCCATCAGCGGGCAARATCCTGGGAGGGGACACAGCTAGGCCAGGTGGCCCGAGCCGACCAAAGGGCTATTCCACGCCACATGACGTCAGATCAGATAAAAAAGCTAAGGAGAGGAAGAGCGTTTGTCTTCCGGAGCGACCGACGTGCGTGCGGTAACCCTGGTTCCCACAGGAAAGTAGAGAGGAAACTTTTTTTGTTTTTTCCTTTGAGTTTAACAAAYTGCCTTATCGCAACGTAAGAGCCACCATTTCCCACGTTATTTTCCGCCGCCTGTGCAGCGGGGAAGGTGGAG